TGCCTGCAGGAGGCGTGAGAAGATCACTTGATGGCCCATCTTGGAGTCTTTCAGGTCTGTTCCAAGCTCGATGTGATATTGCAATTTTAAGCCTCGAGAGGCAGCTTTAACAGCTTGATCTACAGCTGTGATGTCTGCTTCTCAGTTTTTCCGCAGCATTTCCTTTTTGCCAATCCCAGCTGATTAAGCCAGCTTGAGAAGGAAGCAGCTGCCTGTCTCCTTTCATAAGGCAGTTTCCTAGTAGTTGAAAAATGTCTCCATCAATTCTGCTGATATCTTCCTGGCCTTGAACTCAAACTCAGGGGCCATTCCAACAGGCAAAACTTCTACTTTATTTCTTAGAATGTTTCAATTACACCTCCCTTGCCCTCATATATCTTATTAAAGGCACCCTACCGTCCTGATCCCATCACAGCTCATCAAGAGGGATCAATGCAATGTTGGTCCCAAAGTGTTGTGGTTCGCTGGCAGCAGGTGCAGATGGCCGAGGTCTCGGAGAGCGAGGACTCGGATGAGGGGCCTGCATGTGAGGCAGGGATGGGGCCAGGAGCATCAGGGAGTGGAGATTATGGAGGCTGGCAGCAGTGAGGAAGAGTACCCCGAGGAGCCCATGCCCAGTGCACACGCACGCAGGGCTGCTCGAAGGAAAAAGCAGCTGCAGCAGCACAGGTGACTCGGGAGTAAGACTGCAAGGTAATGGCCCCTCCCTGAGAAGATAAAAGCCAGCTGAGAAAGTGGAGTTCTTTGCAGGAAGCAAAGAAGTTTTTGCACTCAAGCCTTGCGGACGTTCGGGATATCTGGGTTTGTCTTTGGAGACTCTTTCTGTTTGAAATATTTCTTGGCAACTTAATCTAGCCTTCTTGGCAGCCTTGCACCACCTTGGCAAGGCTCATCCTTATCAGAGACAATTGGTTTGCAACAGCCTTTTAACCGGGAAGGAACAGAATTCGTAAAGAATCATTAAAAGGTTTGGCTGTTACCTCTGTTTTGTGTTTGTTTCTTTGGAACAAGGTTTGGATCAGAACACAAATCCAAGCTGATTCAATGATTCCCTGGAAACAGAAGCTGGAAGCAGGTCAATTATTACTCAGGCTGAGTGGTTTCTTGGGGAGGTGCCTGAAGAGCTGCTCAGTCATCATCCAGGTCCTGGATGTCCCAAAAGGGCTTTTCTACCAGGAGGCAACGGACTTGCTTGTTTTTTCTTTTGAAGATGTTTCACTTCTCACCCAAGAAGCTTCTTCAGCTCTGACAGGATGGTGGGGAAGAAGGGAAGGATTTATAAAAGGATGCAAATGACCAAGCTGTCTGCAAGGAATATAAATCCTGAATAAGCTTCTTAGATGAGAAGCAACACGTCTTGAAAAGGAAAAACCAAGGAAGTCTGGTTGCCTCCTGAAAAAGCCGCCTCACCTCCACCTGTACCCACCCACCCCCCACCCACCCCCCTCGGGGTCCAATTTGCAGAGAGTAGAGCTAATAACAGAGAGGAGCAGCCCATTCCTCCAGACCCACAACTTCAAACTAACGCCAAGGAATATTGCAAGATGCGGCTTCTGTCACCTTAACTGGACTTGACAGCTGGCGTCTCACTCCAGGTGATTCTTATCCTCCGGGGGGGGGGGGGGCAGCTTCTTTGATCAGCTATGCAGGAGATTGTCTGGCCCAGATTTTTCCAAAAAGGATCATGGGACTTTGAACAAGTTGTTAGAGAGCTATTCGTAGGTTCCAGAGGAGCAGGGAAGTAAGGCCCCCTCATCAGCCTTACAGCTTGTCCTCGTTTTCTACTTAAGCTCTTAGCGAAGTCTGCTTAGGTTCCTTCTTGGACTTATACCAACTTGGGCTGCAGGTGTTTTGCCTGCCGCTTCTGCTCCCTGGCCCACTCTCCGCGTCCCTCAGCAGGTCGGATCAACTGCTCGGGACCGCTCCGAGGCAGACGCCGGTCCCAGAGTGCGTAAGGCAGGTCGGGGATCCCCTGGGGACCCACCGACACAGGTTCTCGCCTGGGTCTGGCAGCTCCAGATCCTTTTAGCAGCCCAGCAGGGGAGCCAAAAGACTATCGAGACCAGGCGATGGAGGAGGGGCTGGAAGACAAGACCCAAAGAGTGGGTGCTCTTCAAGAGCAGCCCACACCCCGACTCCCCCTGCACCCCGAGAATTTTCCTCCCCGCCCCCAGTGCCATCTTCTTCATCCCGCCTCTCTGCCACAGCCAGGGTCCCTTTAGGCCACCCACTCCCACAGTCTCCCTCGGGCTCAGGGGGCTTCTGACACCAGGTGCCCCAAGCCCAGCTGCACCCTCCCCTCCCCTCCCCCAAAACCAACCCCCCCTCCAGAACTCTTGCTCTTATTCCCGTCTCCTAATTTTTGCAATGTCGACTCTCTTGTCCGTCTGTGCTCCGTTCAAAATCCAAAAAAGAAACACCCGGACTCCAACGGTTAGAGCAAAGTTTTTTTCTTTTACTAAATTTCAAAGTGGAAGCTACAGGGAAGATTCTGAATCTGAGAAATTAGGCGCGCAGATGACATATACAAAGGGATGGAATTGTTCCCACCCCCCCAAAGTCCAAAAGACTCTTCCAATTAAAAGTTGTGTATATCATCGCGTGGGCATCTTCAGGTGGTGATGAGGCCTCTGTCCGTTGACCTTGACATATTTTGATAAAACTTCGCAGCTGCGCAAAAGGGGATAGAAGCTAGCAAGGAAATAGAAACTTAAGGACAAGAATTTATGCTCCACCTCCTCCTTCTCATCTACAGCACAGGAATGTAACACCTCCAGATTTCTTCCCCTCCAATTCCCCCCCACCCCCTTACTAATGACAGCCGAAAGAGAGCAGTGAGCCTAGCAGTAGAAAAGATATAGAAGAGATCTCGACGCTGACACTCTTCTTCCTGGTCAGAATTTTAAGCATAAGCTCAGTTTAGTTCCTATCATCTTTAAAAGTCCGTATTATCTTCTTCTTTTGACTTAAGGTCCAAATATTTTCTTACTATGTGAATTAATGTAGTTTCTGGCTTAACACCCGTGAATTGAGTTATCGTGATTTGTAATCAGCGGCCTGTGATTTGTAAGCCGACATTAGCTCAATCTCTGAAAACACAGAATAAAGAGCCTGGAGGCTAAACTGTACGAGGGACAGCGGAGGGAACTAGGTAAGTCTACTCTGGCCTATTGGAAAGAAGGACCAGCTGTGACATGATAGTTGTCTTCCAATGTTTGAAGGACTATCCCAGAAAAGAGGCAGCCAGCCTGTCCTCCAACGGCACTTGAGGGCAGGACAAGAAACAATGGAAGTTTATCAAAGAGAGGTCCAACTGAGAATTAAGGAGAATTTTCCTGAATGAGAACAACGAATCCATGGAGTAGCTTTCCTCCAGGGTTACTTGCTCCATGCCTGGAGCCTTTTAAAAACAGACCTTTTGACTGGGATGATATAAGACTTGAGCAAGGGGGTTGGACTAGAAGACCTCCCAGGCCCCTTCCAGCCCTAGGATTCTATGTCCTGAGACACACAGTGGATGCCTCTTTCCAGCTGCAGAAATTCCCAGGGCCTCATTCCATCTTGAGAGGCTGCCCTGCAAAGCTCAGGTTGGGTCAGGGGTCAGAAGGTTTTCACGGCTGCTTCTCTCCAGAGGGAACCCCCCCCTCCCCCCCTCCCCCCTTTCAGGACAGGAGTCTCCAACCTTGGCAACTTTTAAGATGTGTGGACTTCAACTCCCAGAAATCCCCAGCCAGCTGTTCCAATCTGGAATCCTGGGAGATGAAGTCCGCACGTCTTAAAGTTGCCACGGTTGGAGACCTGTGATTTAGAAGGGTGGGAATAAAAGTGCTTTTAAATGGCCAGACATAATTTTTCTTTATTTTCGTCAACATGGAAACCAAATTTATTTAAATTCTCCACCCATCAGCAACTAATGACACTGACTGAGCAGGGCCAGGCTAGGGGTGGGGGAGGGGAGGGGATTTGCTGGTGGGGGATATTACTTGACACCGTAAGTAAATGCAGGTTTTGGACAAAACTCTTGAAAAATGTGGTCACGGGACTGCAGGATGCTACAAACAGCTGTAAATGCAGCCTGGTTACCAGGTGTGGCCACATGACTGTCAGAACTTTAACACACCCCCCCCCAGGTACTTATATAGTGACTTCAACCGGTCACTAAACAGCCAGTTATAAGTCGAGGACTATCTGTATCCCACTCTTTTCCCCAGAAGTGTTTCTTCAGAGGATCCAGAAACATGGACCCTCCTCCTGCTCCTCCTCCTCCTCCTCTCCACCATCTGAACACCAGGACAAGAAATTGCTTCAAAGGGGCGAGACAAAGAGAGCCTTGATTCCATTATCACCAGAACATCGTTATTGGACATATTTTATTTAAACACTCAAAACGCGAAATCCGAAAGATGACAAATTCCAGACCACCCCATGGCAGACATTAAAATTCCCATGTTTTATTATTTACACAACTGGAGCAAAACCACAGTAAAATTCTGGTGGGGAGGCCTCTGGAGAAGGAACATCCACGAACATCCTCCGAGGCTCATCCCCATTCGTGGGTTTTCCAAAGGCAGCCATCCAAACGGGGGTCTCGGCTGGACCCTACAGGAATCTCCCTTTGTCCAGGTACACAAACTGCGTAAGGATTCCGGAAGAGCCACGCTCCCTTTCCAGAACTGCCTCAGAGAATAGTTGTAAGACACAAAGGTAAGAAGAGCCCAATTCTAGCAGAGTTTGGAAAAGGGGGAGGAGAGGTAGGTTGTTGGGGGTGTCCGACAGTGAGACTCAAGTCCACGTCAGCGACCGGCAACGAGGATCTGATCTCCTGGGAGACTCCGAGGCCAAGAGAGTCTTCCTCAACCTTAAACACCAGCAGTTAAAAGTCAAGCTGGACCAGCAAGTTGCATTTTTACAACAGGCACACACACACACACACACACACACACACACACACACACACACACAC